TGATTCCAAGTGGGGTTTAGTTTTCTGTAGATTATCAGTTGATTTTTGAGCAATTTTCAAAATGTTTATTAAATTCTGGATTCTAAATTGTGTACAAATTCACCGAAAAAAAATCTAGCCCAGTAAGAAGACTGAAAGGTTTTTACCGAAAGCAACTAAGACTATATTGAAAAAACGACCAGAGAGCAAAAGTTTACAAAAAATTATTGGGAAAATTCGCCGCCCTCATCGCTCCGAGGATTTCTAAAGTTTCTATTAAGCAATTTTTTCTACGCTAAAATCGCATTATTTTTTAGTTTTACTTAAAATACTGCCAATCTTCAGGTATTTTCTGTAAAAAATTATAAGATAAACTTTACTGGAACACTCGCTTCCTTAACCGCATTGCAAAAATGATTGGAAAACTTTCTGCAGCTTCCAATTATGGACAAAACCCTAATAATTATTTCTAGGTGTTGTCCAAAAATATTTCCCCGAACTGAAAATGCGAAAGTTTATAATAAAACCCTTGAAAACTGGAGTTTCTTCACTTTCAGGTCAATATTTCTAAACAACATCGTCTCTAAACAGAAAAACCGCGTTGTTCCTAACGTTTTACTGTAAAAGACTGAATCTTCTATGCAAAAAAATTAAAAGATCGATTTTACAAGAAAACTCATCGAAGTTCTTTGGACTCAGTTCTGTTGCTAGAACTCAAATCTAGTTTACTTTTTTTTAGTTGTTTGAACAAAGTAGCAAAACGTTACTGAAAAAAAATGTTAATAACCCTTTTTTAAAAAAAGTCTCGTAAAGCTTTAACAAATAAATTATAACTCGCTGACCGATGAGTCACAACTCGTTAACTTAGAGAGCGGCAGCAACTCAATAGTGCAACTCAACAGTGTTACCCAGGCCTAAATCAAACCAGAGCAAAAAGGTGAACCTGTTGCTGGCAACGCCCCCTTTAACCTTTGCTTTTAGCAAAAACCTACCGACTGCGCCAAGTGGTGTTCTTATCCTGCTGTTGCGTGAATCACCAAAATATTCCATTACTTTTTACATCCGACGTCAATGCGTCCAAAAGATATCCTCTAGTTCCCATTCAGAAGGAGAATCGAAGTCAGCGCGCGTTTGGATTAATTTCCCCCTGTTACTGTCTGTTCCCAGGGCCGGACGTTGACCGAAATGGACGAAAACAAAAAAAATCGATAGACACCAAATCCGGAGATCGAGGAGGTCAATGGGGCTCCATCAAATTCCGGTACCGGTCGAGCAGGTGACCGAATTTTTGCGCAACATCAGCTGTTGTGCCCAATTCTTGTCGATGTTTATACAGGGCGTTCCACCATCGTACTACTAAACCACTCCTTTCGATTTGATCCTCCACAAGCAATCGGGGATGTAAACACTTCAAAACGTTAATCCGCATAACCGATTCGGGGCTTATCGGGAACAAACAGGACGCTCCCACTATTGGCAAACACCGCAAGATTTACACTTAAGCTGGCACCGAACAATGCATTTCGTTTCATGGTAAATAAATGATGGCGAATTAGCGAACGAAAAAAAATTATTGTTTAAGTTATTGCATCGAAGCGGCGATTTGCAATAACCTGCTAGTAAGGACATTGATTCGGTTGAGCAATAGTCGGACACGTAACGAGCACATTCCGCACAGCAAAAACCCGTTTGACGTACTACCAAGCCTCCCGATTTCCCAGACTTTTCTCCATGGGACTTTTTGTTTGTTTATTGTTCAAAACCAACAGGGGTTTTTGTCTTCATATTGGTTGCCGATCCAAATTTGCTACAGTGGCAGCCCGCATAATTTACATGTTTTAGACCTGCAGAAAACTCACTCAGAAATTGGCTCAGAGGCTTGTTGTTTGCTCAGAAGATAATGCTGTAAGGTTTAATAACATTTCGCGAGGTTTAGCCATAAGACGCAAATGTTTCGACTTATTTTTGAACTATCATCAGGTATGGGCGACAGAGGCGTGCTTTTTTTCAAAAATTGGGCTTTAAAGGTTTTGGTATAGAGCCACATAGAAGTGCACATTTTGCGCTTTTGAGTTTTTTGTATCTTTTGTTATCTGAAAAAAAATCATAAATAAAAATTAGTGGTCCTTCGAAGCGGACTAAAGCAACACAAAGCTTCAAAACATTTGCATGCTTGTGTTCAGCACAAAAATGAAAATATTGCAACTTTTCGAAAAATCACACTTTTTGGTCAAAATGCAAGTTTTTGGGCAATAAAATCAACTAAATGCCCCATGGGCACGTCCCTTAATTTTAGATGCACGTATTAACAGCATTAAATTAACAAAATTTAGTTATTTTGGTTTTAAAATCTACAGGGTGATGGAAATTTGCGTGATTTTTTTCCAAACTCCTCAAGTAAAAACGGAATTTGTACAAAAATTTAGATATTTTCAAAAAAAAATATTTTGCAACAATGTACCTATTTGTTCGCACCTGCAAATTACTTTTTAATTTTTCAGCACTTTTCTGTATCTCTTTTAACTATGAAAGTTGGGGCATTTTGACATGGCGTTTATCCTGCTTTTTTGGCACCACTAACAATTACGGAGATAAAGCGTTGAAAATCACCCTGTACTATGCTCAAAATCACATTATAACCTCATTTCACAACATCAGTTTTCATGTTTAATACATCAGTCATTGCGAACGGTACTCGTTTGCAATTTTGTTGACATTTTACTGTGTACTTTCTTGAAGTTGGCGCAGTCAGCAGGACAGTAAGAGATTATCGTTGCCTGTTGGTCAACAATCTAATTCTATGGGATTTTCGGGTACTTTTAAGCAACATTGGACTTTCCATCTGTAGTGAGTGAATTAAAACATTTCTCCGCACATGTTAATCGGTTTGGTACGGTCCCGCTGGTACCGGAGGCATTGGAACCGGCCGCAGAACCAACAAACTAGTCGCAACGCAGCTGTTTTGAGGCCAAGAATAGGCCGGATCGCGTCGTGCTCGAAGTACCGGTACCATTCGCGTGCGCTTGTTTTAGTGCAAGTTTTTTTCTGTTTTTCGTTTCGGTTGTTTTGTTTGATCGCGGGGAATTTCGCTAAAGTGCAAGTCGTATAGGTGAGTTGAGACAAATTGCTTGGTGCCAATCAATTTGTCATCCACCTGGGCAGGTTTGATTTGATTCGAATTTCCAGTCACATGGAGCATTTCCGGTTCCGGTATGGCCAAGCAAGGTTCTCATTGATTTTCAATGCGGCAAGTGAAGGCACGTGTCGTCAATCGATTGGGTAATCACAGTTATGTAATCAGCGTATTCTATAGCGCTGGTCAATGACCAATTGAAAATTTGGAGTTTTTTGGACATTTTTGAAAAATCCTATGCGAAGATCTAAGAGTGTTTAGCAATATTGCGAAGTGAAGTTAAAAATACCCGATCAAGTTGCGAGATATAAAGTGTCTCTAAACAGTTTATTTTTGGCGGACGTTTCGTTTTTGTGCCATCATCAGGTAATTTGGGAGATTTTTCAAATGTGTCTTGCATAATTTAGTTCGATATTTATTTCCAATTCATTGAGCAAAAATGTAAAAAAGTTTTGAGTGGTCACCATCAGGGTACTTGGTACAATTTTTTCTACCTAGCATTCTTTTACCTAGTTTACTTAAACTGGGTTTAAATGTCAGAGTTTCATATAAGCCCGAGTTTAACATTTATCTCATCATCCATTAGTAAAGACAGTAATTTGCTTTTAACTATGCTCGTTTCGATTTTAGGCTTTCCTCAGGCAGTTTTCGATTTTTTTGTTTTGTCTTCGAAGCTTTTCAACTATTCTGGGTTTGACATTTCTTTGCTCAATATTTAGTAAAGTTGCTGATTGGATTTTAGATGAATTTCGCAGAAAAATATTCGACTTTGTCTCTTTTGCCTACTGATGTCTTTAAGATATTAACATTTATTTTCTCTGTAACTTGAGGAGTCGGAAAATCAATTTTGGATGAATTCCTTTTTTTTCCGTTTTAATTTTCAGTCATCGACAGACAATTTTCAAGCATTTTTTGCAATCGCGTCTGGTTTTCATAGAGTTTTTTTCAGGTCAGAGTTTGGCATTTATTTGCTCTGTAATTTGTGAAATCAGAAAATCAATTTTGGATGAATTTTGTTGAGCAAAGGCCCTTCTAAAAGCAAACAGCATTTCGATTTTCATTTCGGTCATCATCAGGAATTTTTTCGCAATTTTTCACTATTGCGTTTGTTTTACAGGTTGTTTTGATATTTATGTTTTCACTTCAATTTTTTTATTTTCGTTTTGTCTTTGAGGATTTTTAGCCATTCTGGGTTTGACTTTTTTGCTCAATTTTGTAGCACAATAACCGCTTTATCGTCGTAGACGACGTTTCGATTTTATGTCTTCCTCCTGCGAGTTTGTACAATTTCTTTATTAGTTTTTAGAAAAATTAGAGTTTAAAGAGATGAGCATGTATTTCTGCTGCAATTTGGGAGGTTAGAAAATTTATTTTCAAATAATTTTATAGTACAAAAGTCTTTTCTTAAATGGACAAAGTTTCGATGTTCATTCATCTTCAGAGAATTTTTCAAAATTGCCTTGAGGCCGGAGTTTGGTTCATGAGACTGTTTGTTCAGGCCGAAGTTTGACATTTATTTATTTAGGAACTAATCACGTGAAACAGTCGCCTTTCCATACATTCAATAAGGCAAAGTGTGTTTTTATACGCGGCTAAAGCTTTGATTTTTAGTCATCTTCAGGCAATTTTCAAGAAATTTTCAAAATTACGTCTGGTTTCTGTGGTGGTTTTAACAGGGCGGAGTGGAACATTTATTTCCTCTGTAACTTGCTAAGTCAGAAAGTAAGTTTTTGATGCATTTTATACCGAAACATGCTTTTTATAAGCGGACACCGTTTCGATTTTTAGTCTTCATCAGGCATTTTTGGACAATTTTTCAAAATTGCGTTTGGTTCAGGAGATTCTTTGTTCGGGCCGGAGTTTTGCATTTATTTATTCAGGAACAAATAAAGTGAAATAGTTGCTTTTATGTGCATTTTGTAGCGCAAATTATGCTTTGCTTATGCAAAAATGCTACAATTCTTAGTCATCGTCAGGCAATTTTCAAAAATTTTTCACAATTGCGTCTCCTTTTTATGGTGGCATTTGCAGGTCAAAGTTTATTCTTAATTTCCTCAGTAACTTGCGAAGGCAAAAATTCATTTTCGGATAAATTTTCTAGCGCAAAAGTACTTCTATAAGTGAACAAAGTTTCGACTTTCGGCCATCATCAGGAAAATTTTGATTAATTCTCACGATTGCGTTTGGTTTACGAGGCGCGTCGGAGTAAGTGACTGAGTGACTTTGTAGGACAAAGTCTGCTTTACATAAGAAAATAGTTTCGATTTTTGTCATCATCAGGCAATTTAGTGCAGATTTTATAAAATTACGCTGAGTGTTCTATTGATTTTTTTTTTAATTTAGTAGATTAACATTTACTTTATTTATGAATTTTTTTCCTTGTCATGTCATTTTGTATAATTTTTTAAATAGCCTCTACGCGTGTTTTTGAAGTTGTTTATGCATGTGTTTTTCAACGTTTTCAGTTTATACCTGCCTCAGGCAATTTGGTACAATTTTTTCAATTATTGTTGATTTTTACCTTTTCACGAAGGTCTGAGTTTGGATATTTTATTGCAGTTTTTTATAATTTAATAAAGTTAGCCATTTGCTTTGATATGCATTTTGTAGAATAAATTCTGCTCTCTTTGGGGAAAACCTTTAAATTTTATTTAATCATCATAGAACTTCGTACAATTTTGGAAAATTGTATTGGATTTTTGTGGTTGGTTCTGCATGTCCATTTTTTGCATTTCTTTGTCCATTATCTGTAGAGCAAGTTTGGACCTATGTATGCAAAACGTCTGGCTTTTATAATTTCTTCAAACTTATTTGCACACTTTTTGGAAATTGCATTTTCCTTTACAAGCTTTTTATGAGCGACTTAAGCATTTATTGATGCAGAATGTGTTAAAATTGTTACTATTTAATATTTTCCCCAGATAATTTCATCCATTTTTTTAAATTAAGTTTAAATTTTAAATTTTTATCGCCGATTTAAGAAATTTCGGACCATTTTTAAAAATGTGTGTTTAAGCAGGCTGGAGTTTGGCATCTATTCCGCTAAAGTTTCGATTTTATGTCATTATTAGGACATTTTTTTGCTTGTTTATTTGTTTTTGCCAAGTGTAAATTGGATACACTGATCCTCTCAGAAACTATAAAAGTAGTGAGTCTGTATTCGTTAGAGGAAAATCTTTTTTTGGATCCCTCGGTTTGTATTTGCTTTTCCTAGTTGTGTATGCAGGCCCGCGTTTGAAAATTTATTCCCTCGGGAAATAATAAAGTTAGCTTTATTATATGTATTCCTGATTTTTGCTGCATCATCTACCTATAGAAAAGCGTGAAAAAAATCCGATTTGATGTCATCAACTTTATGAAATCGGATTTTGTTTTCGAGGTTGCCAAAAAGGCGAAAGCCTGGGAATTGGATTCAGATGCATTTCAACAGCAAAGGCTGCTCGAGAAAAGTGTAATTTTCAAGTTTTCTGGACGCAAATTTGAATTTTCCTTAAACATTTCGCCTAAAAGTTGCTCTAAAAATCCTCGAGTTGGGGACTCATTTCCTCAGGAATGACTAAAGTTGACTTCTTTTTTTTATTGGATAACAGTGCAAAACGATTGCTTTATTTACGAAAAAAAAATCGATTTTGTAACATCATCAGGCAGTTGTGTACAATTTTGGATTTAAAAGTGTAGGAGCTGGTTTAAAAAAAAAAACTGTGAAAATAGCAAGTTGTTTTTAGATGCGGTTTATTCAACAAAGTAGAGCGTGTTAGTGGCTTTTGCAGACTTGAGTTTTACATTTTTTTCCTCGAGAATTAGTCAAGTTAGCGATGTTATTTTCCGCTGCATTTTTTAGAGCAAGGTCTGCTGTATGCACATGTGACGTTTTTTAATTTAAATTATCTTTAGGCGAGTTTCTACATGGTTTTAAGACTAAGTTTTATTCACAAATTTGCTAATGCGGGCCCAAGTTTGTAATTTATTTCTGCCTGAACTCATAAAGGAGAAACACATTAGAAGCTTCGATTTTACTTGAAATTAACATGCTCCGGAATTGGTGAAGTTCTACATTTAATATTGGGTACGTTTTGTAGAGCAAAATAAAAAAAAGCCTGCACTATGCGAAAAAAACGTTTAGATTCTAACTCTTCTTTAAGCAGAATTGCACAATTTTGTCAAGTGCTTCAAGTTTCAAATCAATTTGGTCAGAAACTGGAGAAGCTCGGGGTTTACTTTTAGGAGCATTTTGTTAACCAAGGTCTGGGCTGGACTATGTGACGAAAAAGTTTTAAATTTATATATTTATAAGTCAAATTTGTAGAATTTTTTAAAGCAGGGTTTTGTTTTTGAAGATGTTTAGACAGGCTCCATACTATACAGGTAAAGTTGTAATAAGTAAGTAAAGTAAAAGTAAAAGTTTGAGCACTTGATAAGAAAAGCTTGAGTTTATCTGTGGTGTGAATTGTGTTCACCGTGCAAAACACTGGTGAAATCACAATGCATTTTAAAACGTCGGAATGTTTTTGCGCAATTTTCCATTTTTCAATCCTATACTTTTAAGACGATTTCCGAGCAATCAGTTGAGGTATCGTAATGAAGGTTTAAGCA